TGGCTTCTGCTCATGGCTTCGATAATTTGGGCCAAAAAGTCCTGGAAGGAGCGGTTAGAATTAGGGGGGTTTTAGAATTAGGCTTTAGGGTTTAGGGTTTAAGGTTTAGGGTTTAAGGTTTAGGGTTTAGGCTTCAGGGTTTAATGGGCTTAATGGTTTTAATGGGTTTGAGGGTCTAAGTGTTTAGCGTTTGAGGGTAATTGGTAAGGTTCAGGGGCCGCGAGCTGAAGGTTTGAAACATCCCTGAAGCCCACGATGCCAACTCCGAAGCCCTCAAACCATGAACCCGAAGCTAGACCCCAAGGCCCTAGCCCGATAACTCTAGTGATGATGCTCATGATGATGCGTCATCGTCACCACCATCTCCGACATCTCCACCATCTCCACCATCACCCGCACCCTCACCATCGCCAACAGAGTGATGATGATGTGATGGCGATGATGATGGATGATGCTGCTGATGCTTGCTATCATCACAGGTTTTGGAATTGAGATGAAGAGCGTATGCCCTCAACCCCTACATCTCGGGCGAGTCACCCTTGCTTGAATGGTCTAGGGTTCAGGGCCTTCAGGGTTTGAGGGGTCAGGCAGGGCCCAAGGTTCCGGATTCCGCAACCTTCCGCAGAGCCTTTTGGGGCTCTTATAATCCTACTATCATTCAAAGGTCAACCTTTTTGGACCAGGGTACTCTTGCGGTTTTAGGGAGGATCCGAAACCTGCTCGAACAACTCCTAAACCCTAAACTCCCAAACCCTAAACTTCCTAAACCCTAAACCCTAAACTCCTAAACTCCTAAACTCCTAAACTCCTAGACCCTAAGCTGCTAAACTGTAACCCTACAAGCATTCTCCGAAGCAGGTGCCCGAGGACCAAAGTGACTTGCGCACTCCCACAGAGGTGCCTGCCGGTTTAGGATTGGTCCTCCTTGGGTTTAGGGTTTAGGGTTTAGGGTTTAGGGTTTAGGGGAGGGAACCGGGGATACACCCTAAATCATGATACTAAGGCCCCATGCAACTAATGCCTCCTAAACCCAAGCCCTGAACCTTCAACCCTAAACCGAAGGTATATTTCCCTTAACTAAGGGGTGTTGTGCTCTGTGGGTCTGCTTCATGTTCAGTATAAGTTTGGGGAGTCGTGCTAAGTACCCAGAGACCTAAACCCTAAACCCCAAACAGTAGAATCCCATAACCTCTACGTGATTTAGGGAGCATTTTCTTGCTTGAAGGGCATGAATGTATCTGGGTAGCCATGAACCTTCAAGTAGCGTCTGCAGTGGATCCATCTCCCATCAACTGGATGCCGCATTCCTTGACGTTCAAGCCATCCCTAAACCCTAAACTTTAAGCCATATTGGCTCCCACCGAATATATGTAATATAGGTAGCTCAATAATTACCTACGCTATTTTGGGGGTCCTTTTTATCATCACGGTACAATATTCCCCAGAGCCCTGTTCTAAATATTAAGGCCCGTAATATAGAGCCCTAT